AGGCTGGTTAAACATGCCCCATCCTACTGAATCACCTCCTATTGGGGGTGGTGGGAGAAATCTTTGGTTGAGATTTTTTCCAGCTAGAAACAGTGGGGCAAGATGGATCCCAGATCAGCAGAGGGAACAGTGTCTATTTTCCACACCTGCCCCTTCTCCACAATCAATTCTTGGCCATTTTAGATAAATCTGGTTTTTGTTTGACTCTGCAGTTGGGGAGTTATGGGTGACTTGGAGCCTGATGAGTTACTTAGAACAGCAATGATTGTGGGAAGAAAATGCATCCTTCTGATCTGTTTGGGCAATGGCTTTAAGTCAAAGACTTAAGAATGAGGAAACCATAACAATGGGATTTTGGGAAATCATGTTCCAAACCAGGGCAGAGGAGACCCAAAGAGGGCAGTGGGAGATTTCAGGGAATAAACCAATGGATGCCCATCCAATAGGAGGCCGAAATATGGCAGGAGGGCTGAGAGGGGCAGGGCAGCCTTCAAGGCCTATGACTTATGCAGTCTTTGCTGCTGAATACTTAAAACATTTAGCTTTAAACAAGGGATTCCATCATTTTATTTTGCACCGGACCCTGAAGATTATGTGAACATCCTGGTCAGGGCTGCAGGCTTGGTGGAACACATGGACTGCGGACTTTGTCTAGGGCTAGCAGGCAAGCCCTGACTTCAGATGTTCCCCACGTGAACTTGGCTCTTGAAACTCACCCACCCCTGAGAAAGCTGAGCCAGCCAGCCAGAGTTGAGAGAGAGAACCTGGCCAATTTGCAATCAGAGCATAGCCAAGAGCAGCTGTAAAATGTATTAAACAAACCAAGCAGGGAGGGAGGAAACACAGAATGCTCTCAGAAAGCATGGACAATGAATGGGGCTCTGCGCTGCAAGCTTTCTCAAGCATTTCCATATTAATAAGATCCTAGCACACAGGCACTGGGGACCCAGTTTTAAGGATGATGATCCAGAGGTTCGGGAAGATGACCAGAACCAACGGTTCTAGTGTTAACACAAGTTCATGTGCCCGACGCATAGTGAGGCCAAATAAACTGAAACTCTAGAGTTTTGAGCAGAAAAAGGTTTATTGCAAGACCTTGCTAGGAGACAAGATGGCTTGTATCCTCCAAAGCCAGGTAGGTGGTGGGAGGGAGGTTCAGAGGGAGAGGACATATGTATACTTATGGCTGATTCATGTTGATGTATGGCAGAACCCAACAGTGTTGTAAAGAAATTATCCTTCAATTAAAAATAAATAAATTAAAAAAAAAGCCTGGAGCTCCCCAAAAGGTTTTGGCAAAGCACTTTTAAAAGCAGGTGAGGATACCTGTTTTAGAGAGTGTGTTTTCTTCACTTAACAAAATGCCATCTACATTGCTTCTTAAATCACTGAACTCTCCTTAAGCTGTTATGGGTGGTCTTTCTGATTCTTCCTTTTATTAGTTGAGCTTCTCAAGATACTCTGGAGTGTGGGGTAGAATTTCTGTGTCAGATTCAAAATGTTGTACACATTTTAAAGAAAAATCCCCTAATTTACTTATTCCACATTCCAGCTTGTAAATGAATAAAGTGATTATTATGTCTAAGTGTGAATAATGTTTTAAAAAAAATAAAAAACAGGTGAGGTGGAGACAGGTGCAGCTTACAACTTGTGCACAATTCTCCGACTGGCTGATGACGAGGAAACAGAATGGAGTCACGGGGTTAATTTGTCAGTCCTTAGACTCCAGAAGGCCTGGGAGAGTGCTCCTGGTCAGCACGTAGTTCACATCGTCCACTAGGTGAAGGGGTGGGGGAAGAGTTCACATCTGCAAAACAACTCAGGAAATTCACGTCAAATACTATTACCAAAGTATGTCAGAAAGGCGCTAAAGCAGAGGACAAGGGGGAGGCCCCATTGGGTCCCGCTCAATTACGATAGTTAAGTGGTGACCTGGATTAAAATGCAGGTGCCTGGACCCCATGTCCAGTGCTTTCCCCACCATGCTAGAGGATAGAGGGGAAGGCCAGGGGACCCAGATGTCCAGGCTCTTCAGGCCAGAACATCCCAGGCCCAGCTCCAGCTCTGAGCTGAATACACTGCCTGTGACTAGATCAATTCACTCCAGACACCACGAGGCAAGACCCTGCAACAGGGGCATCTCTTTAGGTGGCCAGCTCTAAGCTGAGCCCGGGAGCCGGGCCTCAAGGGTGCTGACAGAACAGTGTCCCTGCCTGGGCTCCCCTGGGCTCCCACGGCTGTGGTCCAAGACGCAGTGAGAAATGGGCAGTGGCCGAGGTGGGGCCCAGGCCTTCCAGCCACTGCCCCAGTGGGAGAGAGCTCCTGGGAGGACTTTCCTAGTGGCCAGTGGACAGGAGGCCTCGGTGGTTTGGAGGGACATATTTTGGGGTCAAACTATTGCCATTTCCTGCCCCTGCATCCTTGCTCTGTGGGGTGGAAAGGCTGGGGCTCTTCCCCACCAGTCCCTGCAGAGGGGGCACCATGCCCTGGCCTCCAGGTGTGCCACGGGAATCCTGCAGCGCTTTCCGCTATCTTAGGGGGCCCCCATCAGGCCCCGCTTCTCTCTGAGCACAGACCAGCTCTATGGTCCCGAGCATAAAGCCAGAAATCACAGAGGAAGAGCCCCGTCTGGGAGTTAAGGCGGGGCTGTCTTCAGGGGTCCAGGTGTGGCAGGTCCCTTGTCCTGACTTCTGGCTCCTCATCTGTAATGTGAGATGAGATGAGATGTGTGTGTGTGTGCATGCATGCCCTTGTCCTGACTTCTGGCTCCTCATCTGTAATGTGAGATGAGATGAGATGTGTGTGTGTGTGCATGCATGTGTGTGTTTATGTGTTAGTAGCTCAGTCGTGTCCGACTCTTTGCTAACCCAGGGACTGTAGCTCACAAGGCTCCTCTGTCCTTGGAATTCTCCAGGCAAGAATACTCGAGTAGCTTGCTATGCTCTCCTCCAGGGGATCTTCCCGACCCAGGAATTGAACCCAAGCCTCCCTCACTGTGGGCAGATTCTTTTACCTTCTGAGTTACCAAGGAACCCAATTAGATGCAATGGTTCACCCCAGGATGCCCTGATAGTCCTACTGAAGGCCGGGCTGATTTGGCTCACACTTGCCCCCTGAATACTCACAGGGACTTTACAAAGTGGGTATTTTTGGTTCAGGGTATGACAGCTCAACAACTGCAAAACTGAGGTGATGAAACATTCAAAATCCAAGTCCAGGTCTCACCTACCAGGCCTCTGAGCTTCTGGGTTTGTGGGAGCTTTCTAAATTTTAGATGGACCTGGCTCCTCAGGTGGGTGGTGGGTGCTTGGCCCCATGAACTATAGCCCACCAGGCTCCTCTGTCCATTGCATTCTCCTGGCAAAAATACTTGAGCTGGGTACCATTTCCTCCTCCAGGGGATCTTGCCAACCCAGGAATCAAACCTGGGTCTCCTGCATTGGCAGGTGAATTCCTTACCACTGAGCCACAGGGGAAGTAGCTCCTAGGGTGGGTGGGACCCAAATCCTTAGAGGCTGAGATGAGCCCTCCTAAGCTCTGTTTCCCTTGATCCTCATCAGAAAGGGCAGGGGGCTGCCCCAGAAGTTCCCTCAGTCGTTATGGCCTGCTAAGGCCTGATCCAAAAGGCTACTGCTCCATGTCGGATGGAGGAGGGGGCTGTTTAGGATGTAGCTTTTGGTCGGGGCTCTGTTTGCAGTTGGAGACCCAGAACACCATTTAGTGCCAAACCAGAGAGGGTCTCAGTAGCCATCCAGTGAGGGCAGCAGTAGGACTGGATTACCTGGAGAGCCCTTTCATGATACCCCAGTGACCTTGAGCTCAGAATGCAAAGGTCCACAGTGAGGTTTAAGCAAGTGGCTTTTGATAAAAGCTTCCTGAATCATCCTAATATGAATCTCATTTCCAGGGAAAGAGTCACTGATTTAGGCCAACCTCCCCAAACAGTTCAGTGGTAAAGAATCCACCTGCCAAGCAGAAGACACGGGTTCAATCCCTGAGTCGGGAAGATCCCCTGGAGAAAGGAATGGCATCTCACTCTAGTATTCTTGCCTGGAAAATCCCATGGACAGAAGAGCCTGGTGGGCTACAGTCCAATGAGTTGCAGAGAGTTGGACATGACTTAGTGACTAAACAACGACAACTCCACATTTTATTTATTTTTTTAATAGTGTTTTCCCCTTTAATATAGTGAATAGGTTACTTCTCCAATGGGGGGAAAATTATAAAATTGGTTTGATCAAGTATTATCTTTCAAATTTTCTTACTAACTGTACAATTAATCTACAGCTGTAAATAACTTATTTCAATTCACCATTATATCAAAATTAAAAAGACAAGACCAGTAGTCTTGAAAGAAGATAAAAATTAAGTAGAAACAACATAGGAATGGAAAGAAAGACAAAGCTCACCAAAGATAAGTAGAAATGACTGTTAGCAATGTCCCACAAGAGAGCCAGCAGAGTGTGTTAAGAGTGTGGGCTCTGGTACCAGAATGTATAACAATGGCACATTTTCAGTGGGAGAACTAAGGCCCAGACGGGGGAAATGGCCTGCCCCAAATTTCACAGAAAACCAACAGCAGAGTCCAGAAACCCTGTCTCCCGATTTTTCACCCTTTTTCTGCAGAAGAATCACACCTCCTTACCTGTCACTATTCCTGGATTCTTTCTTTTTTTTAGATTTTTAAAAATAAATTTATTGTTAATTAGAGGATAATGGCTGTACCATATTGTCTGTTCCTGCTGCACATCACCATGAATCAGCCATAGGTACATACATATGACCCCTCCATCTTGAACATTCCTCTTAGCTCCCATTCATCCCACCCCTTTTTAGGTTGCCACATAGTCCTGGGTTTGAGCCCCCTGGTAAATACAGCAGATTCCCAAGACTATCTATTTTACATATGGTAATGTATATGTTTCAGTGTTACTCTTTCAATTGGTCCCTCCCTTCTCCTCGGCTCTTTCCAACCCCCTGGTCCTACCACCTTCTTCCATTCATTGGGTCCTGCAGGCACAAGCCCTCAGTGCAAGCCACAAACCTGGCCTCATCCCTGACCTGAGCCAAAGATGACTTAAGGCCCTTCCTCCACTGACAACAGGCCCACGTCCCAAGGCTTGAGCCCAGGAAACAGAATCTTGTGAATAAGGCCCAGATCCTCCCAGCTCCATTTCCAGCCTCTCAAGGCAGGTGCACTTCCTTTCCCCATGCTCCGGACACATCCGCTCCACGTCATCTGTTAGCACGCCATCCAACAATTGTTCAACTTCCCTTAAGGGACACACAATGTTTAATTCTCTAACAAACCTGTGAGCAGATAGCATTATTTGGAGATGAGGTTGAGAGGTTAAGAAAGGAAAAGAAGTCACACAGATGGTGTACAGAGGAACTGGGACTGGGGCCAGGCAGAGCCCACCCTCATAACCACACACAGCATGATATCCAACCCCCACACCCCCCACCCCAACTCTGGTAAATCCCACCTTCATCCTTCTAGAGGCCACACTGCACCCCAGTGAGTGCCTCCTTCCCCCACCCTGGACACGTGCAGAGCCTGGTCTGCACGTTACAGCAGCCCTGACTGCCCGTACCCACTTGTTGGTTTGCATATCTGTTTCCCTTTCGAGACCCTGGCTGTGTGGTCAGCTCTCCTATCTCACCTGACTGCCTGAGTATCAAGCAGGCCCTCAGAAGATGTTTGCTGAGTGACTGAGTGAGTGAAGAGATGAATGAATCAGCACATCAGAAATTGAGATCTGTCAGCAGCATCCCACGTGTGGAATGGTGCCCATCAACACACTCGGGAAGTGGTCCGATGGCGTGTGCTAGAGGGTCCAGGGGAGTATAAACCAGCAAAGGGTTTGGGCCAGAGCTGTTCATCCTAACATTGTCACTTGCCACCTGTAGGACTCCTTTCACCTCCAGGGCATCCGCTACTCATCTGCGGCAGGGGGATGACAAGAGTCACTGTGCATCCACCCTGGATGGGATGCTGGGGCATGAAATGGGAACCATGACAGAGGCACTCCTGCCCTTCTTCCAGACAAGAGAGGGGGGTGGAGCACCAGGCAGTTCCTAGAGTGCAAGGCGGCTGCTGTGGGCAGCTCGGTGGTGGGGTGTGGTCGGGGGCAGCCTGCAGGGAGTCTGCCAGATAAAACTGGAAAAAGCATGTCAGGCAGTGAGTTCCCAGCATATGTGGGGCCAGAGCTCTGGGGACCACATCATCCAGGACTATGTAAGCTGAGCCAAGACCTTATCTCTGAGCAGTGGGCTGAGTGGCTGTCACTCAAGAGCTCCATGGCTATGGACACAAGTTGAAAAACTGGTACATGGATGGACCTGGAGGTTGTCATCCCGAGTGAAGTCAGTCAGACGGAGAAAGAAAAATATCATATGACAGCCCTTATATGAGGAATCTAGAAAGAAATGATACAAATGAATTTATCTACAAAACAGAAACAGACTCATAGGCATAAAGAACAAACTTATGGCTGCCGGCAGGAAAGGATAGGAAGAAGAGATATTAGGTAATTTGGGATGGGATGTACACACAGCTATATTTTAAATGAATAACCATCAAGGATCTACTGCCTAGCACAGGGAACTGTGCTCAATGTTACGTGGCAACTGGGATGGGAGGGGAGGCTGGGGGAGAATCGATACATGTATATATACGGTTGCTGTCCAACGGGACAGGTACCTTTGCTGTCCAAATGAAATTATGACAGCATTGTTTAGTGGCTACTCCAATATAGAATAAAAAGTTAAAAAAAAAACAACAAACCTAGTGACCATCTCTGCTGTGACATTCTTTGGGCATCCCCGGGTCGCAGCTGCTACAAGAGACACTTGATGCCTCGTTCGCTTTCTCACTGAGAGCTGGGTAACACAGGCCTCCTTATCAGCACAAACATGCTAAATGTTAGAGAGACGATGGGGGACAAGGGAACCCAGGCAGAGGGTAAGAGATGCTGGAAAGCACAAGAAAGCATTTTCAGTTCAAGGGTTTTAAGTACTGGGGGCTTGTGCTTACGGGAAGTAGCCAGGTGCAGACATGGGGACACTGCCCCTGGAGGGGACGCTGAGTTCCTGGGCATCCAGCAACCCAGGATTAGAAAGAAGCCAGGATGCAGGTCCCGGATGGGGACGTGATGTCACTGCCTGGGTCCTGTAATGAAGCCCCACATGGTCCAGGATTGAGGGACAAAGACGGAGGGCGTGTGGTTTTATTGAGCCTCTACAACGCGTCAGGCCCTGGGGTAAGCACTTCCCTGGACTCCGCAGCTCACAGGAAAAGGGGTCTATTCTCAAGCACTGACCTCAGCTCCCAGTGCGTGCCTCCTGCAGTGAGCTACGAGCCCCAGGGGGCAGGCCTGGTGTCCGTCTCGTGCCTGCTGTGTCCCCAGGACCTGGTACATGTTAGGTATTCCACGGTGATCTTTTTTTTTAACTTTTGACTTTGTATTGGAATATAGCCAATTAACAATGTTGTGATGGTTTCAGGTGGACAGCAAAGAGGCTTGTCCCTACACGTACATGTATCCATCTCCCCCAAACTCCCCTCCCATCCAGGCTGCCACATAACATTGAGCAGAATTTCACTTGCTCCACAGTGGGTCCTGGTTGATTATCCATTTTAAATAGATTAATGTGTACAGGACCACCCCAAGCTCCATAATTATCCCTTCTCCCCACCCTCACCCCAGGCAATCATAAGTTCATTCTCTAAGCCTCCGCAGTGATTTTGGATGATCCAGAGGAAAACCTCTGTCCTCCTTCCTGCTCTTGTTAGTTTTTTCTTTCTCTTCCTTTCTTCCTCCCATGTTCCAAGATAAGGTGAGCCATCTCACTGAATCATTTAAAGAGCTGGAAGTTAGGTAATGGTTGGGGAGTTTATTTTGAAAACAATGGAGAGTTTTACCAGATCCGTTAGGCAGTGGATTTGAAGAAGGAAGGAATTGAGGCTCAGAAGCATTAAGTTACTTACCCAAAGTCACACAGCTAAAAACGAGTGGGGCTGAAATCTGACCCACTTGCTTCTGAGGCCAAACACACTTCCTCCCTAAATGAGAGAACTCAGAAAATTTGGCTCCAGAGATGGACGATGGGAGGCCAGGATTGCCGCAGCTGTGTGATGTCAGGCAAATAACACCTCCCACCATTGGTTTCTACATCCAGGTCTGAAGAATCAGTCTGGAATGTAACTGGAGAGGTGGCAGGCAGGGCCAGGCTCCAGTGCCCCCAGGCCAGCAGGGTTTAGGCAAGAACCTGGGGAGGAGGTGATCTTAAGATGACCTCACACCGGTTGAGCTCTGTTTGACCTCTACAATCCTCAGTAAATTGGTCCCCATTTCACCAAAGATGACTAATAAGAAAACCTTTCTATAGGCACACGTTAGTTTTTAAACTTCTAACTAAGGAAAGGGTCGTTCCCGTGAGAAACTGGTTCAGAGTTGATGGTGCAGACCATTTCTTATCTCTCCATCATCTATGCAGTTCTGACCCATCTCATTCAAGGCCGTGAATTTTTTATCGAGTTATTACTTGGCCTGTGTTTTGCGCCAGGCCTGGGCAAGAAGAGATGGCGTTGGGGTGGGGGACGTACCGTGTGGGATGCTACATTTCCGTGTGGTAGGAGCCTCCGGCCGGTACCTCTTGATGCTGCAGGAGCTGGGAAGGGGGGAGGCATGACTAAGTCTTTCTGTCTTCTCTTTTTCTGTCCTGGGTTTGCGGTGGCCACAGTGAGGGGGAGGAGGGGAAGTGAACTGCTGGAGGGGCAGCCCCGTCCTTGTCTCGAGTGGGCTGGGCAGCAAACCCAGAAGGAGGGGAGAGTGAAAAATTTCCTGGGTGACCACCTGGCTCCTCACTGTGTCCCAAGTGAGTCTAAAGGGTCTGTGGTTACCTTTGGCCAACTGACCACATCCCTTTATCTCCTCCCTCTTTGAGACTCACTAAAGTGACAGTCAAGGAATAAAAAAGGATCAGTCTGTGAGGGCAAAAGGAATAGGAGAGCGACTACAGTGTCTTCGAGATTTCAACTGCTTCAAGTACTTTTCGGGTAGCAGGAAGCAGTTGGTCAATGAAAGAACTTATGGAGCAAGGCAACCGTTAGCGGTGGTCCTTCATGAAAGTGTGTTCTCAGAGGTGGCTGCGCGTGGTGGTCAGGTGGCCAGACACCCCAGGGTCCACCATTCCATCTGTGCAGTGAAGTCTCAGTATAACCTTGGCAAAGTCAGTTTCTTCCTTCAGAGACTCATTTCCTCCCATCAGTAACGGGAAGAGGCCCTACTGAATTCTTATCTGCTGGTGCCTGAATTACCTTGAGCTTCCCATTCCCGCCCCCCAACAAGTACAGGCACATTTGTTTTGATGCTGCTTCTGAAATGGAGCGAAGGTATTTTTGCATTTTTTTTCCCTCTCCCAGGACACTTTTCAAGCCACTGCTGCAGGTGGTCTTCAATGGGAATTTCATCTCTGACATGGCAGGACTCCCACCCAGGTGTTAGGATGAGGAATACATGGGACGGAGGGGTTGTGAGGATGTAACACCTTCATGTGGAAGAGCCAGGCATGGATGGGCTTCAAAGGGGGCTGAAGGGCTCTCTGCTGGGGATGGCAGAAGGGGCTGGACAGAGACACTGGTGTTTGCAATGGGTATAAAATTCACAGAGGGAGACAATGAGGAGGGCCCTGTGGGTGGAGCTGACAGTGGCAGCAAATCCTGGAGATAAGAAAGCATGTGACATCCGCAGAGAGCTACAAATACTGTAACTACAGGAATCCATGGAAACATCACCTGAGTTACAAATGGCCAGGTCAGCAGTTTGGACTTCAGCCTACTGACCATGGGAAACTATCAAGTTGGCATCGTGATTTTTTGAATAATTAATTAATTCATTAATTTGACAGTAACGGGTCTTAGCTGCAACACCCAGGATCTTCACTGTGGCCTATGGACTCTCTAGATGTGGTACACAGACTCAGCTGCTCCACATCATGGGGGATCTTAGTTCTCTGATCAAGGATCAAACCCTGATCTTCTTAACCACTGGACCACCAGGGAAGTCTCAGCCTTGTGACTTTTTAAAAATTTATCTGTTTGAAGTAATTGAAGTATAATTGCTTTACAGTCTTGTGTTGGTTTCTACCAAACATCGACATGAATCAGCCATAGGTTTACTCATGTCCCCTCCCTCCCACCTCTTTCCCCAGCCCACCCCTCTAGGTTGTTACAGAGTCCTGGTTTCAGTTCCCTGAGTCAGACAGCAAATTCCCACTGGCTATCTGTTTTAGAGATGGCGATGTATGTTTTCACGTTACTCCCTCTGTGCATTCCACGCTCTCCTTCCTCCCCTGACCCCCACCCCGTGTCCGCAAGTCTATTCTCTCTGTCTGTGTGTCCACTGCTGCTCTGCAAATGGGTTCACTGGTACCTTCTTTCTAGATTCCATATATATGTGTCAGTATATAATATTTGCTTTTCTCTTTCTGACTTACTTCACTCTATATAAGAGGCTCTAGGGTCATCCACCTCATTAGGACTGACTCAAATGTGTTCCTTTTTATCAACCTTGTGATTTTAATACACAGATATGGCCCAGCTACCTTTCTTGAGCACCTACGATGTGCTACTTACCCCATGCCTCTGCACTGCACACCAAGTGTTCATGACCTGGCCACTGAGTCACTGGGCAGTCACATGTCTCTCTTGCCGTTTCCTCACTGTCCTTCATGCCTAGCTGTCTTTACACAAGCTCCTTCCTCTATGGACAGGCCCCTTTCCACTTCACAGCCTTCCTGCTGGAAACTTTGCTTGAAGAACATTCCTCTGGGAGGCCTCTCCCCTGTGGGCAGTTCCCAGACCTCCCCTGTGCCCTCCACATGGCACATCCCCTACTGTCCTTGCACCAACTGGCTTTTCCTTATTTATCTGTGAGTGAAAGGGCAATGACTTGCATTTTCTTGGTAGCTGTCTTCCCTGAGGCTAACCAAGGACCGAGAACAGGGCAGACTGTTGAAAAGTGTTGAGATCGGGAAAATAGAATTTGCAGCTATCTGGGCCAGGCCCTTGACATAGCAGATCTTATTTTTTAAATTTACTTATTTTTTTAAAATTACTTATTAGTACTTATTTGGCTTTGTTGGGTCTTAGTTGCAGCATGGGGCATCTTTAATTTTCATTGAGGCATGCAAACTCTTAGCGGTGGTATGCAGGGTCAAATTCCCTGATCAGGGATCAAACCCGTGCCCCTGGAATTGGGAGCACAGAGTGTTACCCACTGGACCACCAGGAAAGTCCCAGTAGATCTTATTTAATGCTCCCCTCACACCTGTGAGACTTGAGTTACTCTCCCCATTTTGCATGAGAGATGTGACTAAGGTGAGTTTATGCATCTGCTGATTTGCAGTGGGATTTAAACCCAGGTGTGTCTCCTCCGTGCTGTTGCAGAGCTCTTCTGCCCCACCATGCCCCTGGGACAGTGACTCCATTGCTGGATGGAAAGACATGAGGTCAGAGGAGGCACAGACAGGCCACTTCCTCTCATTCAATTTTCTCTGTGCCCTACTCAGCTGGGACAGATTCTACTCGGCCTCTCAAGATCCTTATCTGCACCTGCACTTGGGGAACTTTTCCTACACCTCTCACACCCCCCAGGAGAGTTGGAGAAAGGAGTTTTCCACGTGGTCACTGGACATGAGTAACTGTGACTTCCCCTCCTCTGCACCCAGGCTTGGAAAACCCCACCCAGGTCTTCTGATAAAAGCCCTGGGCCCTGCAGGATAGACCAGAGGAGAACTCTTCACTTCACCAGACTTACTGAGACCCTTGCAGGGAGGTCTGAGCCAGACAACCTGAGATGAAGCTCATTATTGTCGCATTGGTGTGCCTGCTGCTGGCCGGGATGTGGTTACAGGATGCGGACGCCAAGAGCAGTGAGTTTGGCTGGAGTCACTTTGCTTCTCTTTGGGGAGGGCGGAGACTCAGGCGGGCACTCTGGAGTTGCGGGGTGGGGGAACAGGATCACCTTGAGCTCCCTGCCTCCATCTCCACTCCTTCGGGAAGAATTCTCCCTGAAGAGGAGGAAGGGAGGCCTTGGATGGGGGCAGGGGGCCAGCAAGAGAAACGTGAATCTGGAGTCCACACTGACCACTGAGCAGCCCGCTTCAGTCAAAGGAGTTCTGCTTCATCTAGACCCTGCAGATTGATGGATGGAAGTGGCGAGGTCATTTAGGCCAAGCTGGAGGCCTGAGGTCCAGAGGAGGGACTGAGAGGGGTCTTGCTTCCACCAGGCAGAATCTGAGGTCAGGACAGACTGGCTACCTTGGGCAAGTCACTTGACCTCCCAAACTCTGGTTTTGCCATCAGTAAATTGGAATTTGATTATGCCTACCCTCTAAAGCTGGTGAGAGAATACTGACCAAACGACAGACATGTGAAACGGGTTTTGCAAGCAGTTAAACTAGGAGGTCTCAAATGCAACTCTTTTGAGGGTGGACTGTGGGGTGGGGTTGCAAACCCCCAGAGTGGAACTTGAGGGTCAGAGCTGTGAATAGGGTAGAGGGCCTTCTGGAGTGGTGGGGGAAAGCTTGTTGGTTCCCGGAAGCTCTTTCCTGATCACGTCTTCGAGTTTAAGCTCCTAGCACAGTCTCTAATCCCACCCCAAATAGCGGACTTCAGTTGAATCAGACTCACCAGGGCCCCAGGGCCCTTGAACCCAAATGTGGGGGCAGAACCATGCACTAGCGGTGGGATGTCACAGCTAGAAGAGCCTTTAGAAATCAGTCTAAAACGTCTCATTTTACAGCTGGGAGGTCTGGAGTTCAGAGGAAAGTCTCCATCTTGACCAAAGCCACACAGCTGTTTTGTTGGGGCCTGGGACAAAACCCAGTGTCCTGACTCTGAACCCCACTGAACCCCAGTGTCCTGACTGCCTGAATACGGAATGAGGTGGCTGATGAGACACTGGGGTCCTTTGGATGTGGCCCCAAAGCCTGAGCCTGTCCTGGAAGCGTTTTCCCCCCCTCCATCCTGGATGAGAGGAACTCAGTCTGGGATGAGAAATGAATGCGACCCATTCTTATGCTTCTCTTCTAGTGCACGTGTCATCCTCCAATTGCTGTTTCATAACGGTGAAGAGAAAGATTTCTCTGAAGAGAATCCAGTGTTACAAGAACATCAGCTCCACCTGCTCCTACAAAAACCGTCTGATGTAAGTAATGTATCTTCTTCCATCCCTAACCCGCTTCTCCAGAGAACAGAAACTGGTCCACCTGGGATTAGAATAGCAGACGCTAGATGGCGATGTTCCACTAGATTAAGGTTATTTTTTGTTTTGTTTTTTAACCGAGCCTTCGAGCCTGCCAAAACCTTCGGTGCAGAGCCAAGAGTGGACGCCAGGGGGAGCACCTGTGCTCCCGCAGTGACACGGGTTTCTTAAAGCTCCACGGCGCCAAGTATTATATCTTAATATTTTATGCCCAGAGCTTAAAAGCTCCAGGCACTACTGTGTGATGGTACGAGTGAGGGAGGTCTCAATTAGTTCCTTTCTCTGGATTTGCCAACCTAGAACCTTGGGTGACTCCGGGCAGGTAACTTTTCTGAACCTGATTATCTGAGTAGCTCTCGGCACTCCTGACCTGTGAAGTGGCATAACCACAATAGTTGCATCGCAGGGTCCTTGCAAAGCTCCAAGGAGGCATCTTACCCTTGACACGCAGTGTCTGTGAGACATGAGATGCTTTCATGTGTGTTATCTCAGTCAGCTAACTATCCTGGGGCACGCATTTTCATCATCATGAAAACTGAGGTTCAGGGAATTAGAGAAATTTGTCTAAGGTGGTGCAGATAACTAAAGGCAGAACCAATCTATGGTTTTGGGACAACAGCCAAGTTTGGGAGGTGGCCGGATCAGAAAAGAAACACACATACGCACACCCAAAGCAATGACTGGGGGGGGGGTCACAAATGGATACAGACGCATGAAAAGATGGAGCGGGTGAACTCTCAGAGATATTCTAGGAGAGGATTTGTTTCCAGGTTAGCAGGTTGTCTACAGCCTTTTCTCTTCCCTGATACACTGAATGCACCAAAGGGTCCAGGACATGCAATTTTAAGAACTACCAATCCTCTCCCCAAACCTCCAACCCCGCTGAAGCTTGGGTATTCCTCCCAGTGTACAAATCACAGATCTTACATAACACTTCATTTTACAGAATGGCTCAGGGGCACCCAGGAGCAATGTGGGGGTCATGGGGCTTGTGTGTGGCCCCCAGGGGTGACTCCGGTGACTCAGTCCCTCTTCTATTCTCTGCCCACAGACTGAAGCTGACTGGAGGCCTAGAGGCTTGTGTCTTCCAAAAAGAATCATGGGTTCAGGCTTACTTAAAGAAGATAAACCTCTGCCAGTGAAAGGAAACGTGAGCTGATCCCTTCTCACCCTGGACTCAAGATACCACGTGGCTTCACTTTCCTCCCAACGTCTAACTTCACACCAGTCCTTCTGCCCCGTCTTCACCAGGTCACGCCAAAGGGTCTGCTGGGTTCTAATAAGCTATGTTGTTGCACTTTATATATTTAAATTCTAGAATCTTTAACTTCTGTCCCCACCTCCCCCCATGCCTCTTGGACTTCACAGGGATTTCAAGGTGCAAAGTTGATTGACATTGAGGGGCTGGGGCCAGGGGGTGGAGAGGAGGGAAACAGGTTGGAATTGGTGCCAGGGGAATTGACTTGTTATATTATTATTTAATTTTTATTGGAATATAGATGCTTTACAATGTTGTGGTAGTTTCTACTCTATAGCAAGGTGAATTCTTGATACTGTGGAACTGACTTCTTGTCAATAGGAGCCAATAAATGACTCAACACAACTCAGCTGACTGCCTTTGTCCTGGGGGAATAAATATTGATTTGCCTTGTGATGTAGATTCTCTGCGGGGCTGGGTCCCCATCTCCCCATCTGCATGCTCTCCGCCCCTGCCCTGCCCTGCCCAGAGCCTTTGGAGGCTATTTTATCCAAAAGTTACAGCTGCCCTGGCTGCAGGGGGTGGGGGGTGGGGAGTGGGGGGGGGGTGCAGGTGGTTTGCCATCTGCCTGTAAGACATTGCTACCCTGCTGTAGAGAGGAGATGGCTAAGGGCCGGAGAGATCGACACCTACAGGCCTGAGGACACAAAGCAAGTCAGGATCAGATCTGGCCTTAGAGCTCAGGGTTCCTGCTGCGGTCAAATCACGTCCTACTGCTTGGCTGCCTACAAAACCAAACTCTCAAGTGTTGACAGAAAGGAAAATTGCCTTTAATCAGAACACCAGCAATCTGGGGAGATGGTGGACTCAGGGTCCCCCCAAAACCATCTCGGAAGATTCTGCTCAGCCATGAAAGCTTCTAACGGGAAACAGGGAAGTCATCTCAGTTAATCATTGGGATGGGATGACAGTCAGAGTCCTCACCATCCCCTACTGTGTGCAATGCTTGTTGACTGCTCATGATCTTTTTTTAGATGCTATCTTTTGACATAGTGTGTTCTTGAGATTCTTGAAGGAATGAGAAGAACTGGGGAAGAGATCTGGTTATCTGTTACTTATTCTTTATTTCTACTTCTCTGATCTATGGAGAAAGCAACAAGTTAGGTAACCTATTGTATGATCAAAAGATTTGAAAGGTGTGCTAAGGCTGGAGATGATAGAACATGGGATGCCTGGTTTAAGGATAGTGGCAAGACAAAAGTGGCCTCCTGAAGAGAGCTCTTTTCTGCCAAAAGTTGCTTACACTGCCTTCCAGGGTGGAAATCTTTCCCAAGTCCCCATGTGCCAAGGAACTGCCTGGCACAGCATGGCACAGGGACCTGTGTCCACTGGACAGGGCCTGGGGAGTTAATTAGCAGGATCTTTTCCCGGGGAAGGGCCAGGCAGGTGGGTCCATGTCTGATGGAGATGCCGACAGAGGTCATCCAGAGGAGGGAGGCAGTCTCGAGAAGAAACAGGCGAACCCGCAGGGGACAGAGAGGAAGAGGAGGACCTGTCCCTTTAAAGGGGGCAATCACATGCTCCAACTTGCGTAACCTGCGACTCTAGGGAGACTAGTGTCAACTACACATTGGCATTTACCAAGAGCACTGCCAACGACTGAACAACAAAGACATTTGCCATCTGCCTCTACAGAGATGGCTTCCCTGGTGGCTCAGAGGTTAAAGCGTCTGCCTGCAACGCAGGAGACCTGGATTCGATCCCTGGGTTGGAAAGATCCCCTGGAGAAGGAAATGGCAACCCACTCCAGTATTCTTGCCTGGAGAATCCCATGGACAGAGGAGCCTGGTGGACTACAGTCCATGGGGTCACAAAGAGTCGGACACAACTGAGCAACTTGACTTGATTTTTTCACTTCTATGGAGATTGAACCCCATGCTGCTATAGCTGTTGACCTTCGACTGAGGGACTTCAGGGTGGAGGGAGGCACTCTGTGCTCCAGGGGATCTGGTGGGACAGGTCTTTAGATATTTGGATGCTTTTAGGAACAGATTTTATGATCTCAATTCTTGTATTTGCTCATATCTAGAGAAGCACTAAATTCCTTCATGGTGACATCAGATCCTCATGACTAACAAAAACCTTTTGTAAAATGAGTGTTTCATAGCAATGAACTCCTCCTTCACCAAAACTTTATATATTGACTTACTCCCACTGCCGCTTTGGAGCAGTCTCTCAGAGCTACCTGAGATGCTGTCCCACAGGCTGCAGTCCTCATTTTGGCTCAAATAAAACAACTCACAACTCTCAAGTTATACATCTTTTCTTAGCCATCACTAGCAAAGGAAGGAGTGAATTCTGGGTCTTGGATACGCTGGCTTTAGGAGAGAAAGTCTTGTGTCCTGAGTCTCAGGGCTTCTCACACTTTCTCCAGCAACACTGAGGCTCATCTTAAGCACCTCCTCCCTCTGTCCCCAAGACTGCCCTGCTTCCTGGGCTCCCCCTCACCCAGAACATTGCAGTAGGCGGCTCTCAGTCACCTTGTTGCAAGAAGGGGAACCTGTTCCAGGGCACGAAAGTGGGCTCTTGTCTAATACTCAGAAATGGGTTGTCCGAGGAGACACATGTGCTGACGAAGCTAGAGACTTTATTGGGAAGGGGCGCCCGGGTGGAGGGCAGGAGGGGAAGGGAACCCAGGAGAACTGCTCTGCTCTGCCACCTGCCACAGTCCCGGGGTTTTATGGTGATAGATTAGTTTCCGGTTGTCTTTAGCCAATCATTCTGACTCAGAGTCCTTCCTGGTTCAGCCAAGATGGATGCCAGTGAGAAGGATTCTGGGAGGTGGTCGGACGTGTGGTGTCACTTTTTGACCTTTCCTGAACTCTCCCAGTTGGTGGTGGCTTATTAGTTCCGGGTTCCTTACTGCAAATGGTTACTATGGTGCCTGGCCGGGGTGGGTGGTTTCAGTCAGTATGCTTTCCCTAACACCCTCTTGCCAACCCTGTCCCGCCCTTGGGCCCTGCCCCAGACTACTCTTCCTAGCATCTCCCACCCTCCACCCTCCCCATTGCTACAAGGCCTTCAGAGCTGAGTCCAAACTCCCATCTTGACATTCCAATTCCCCCATAAGCACGTCTCAAACTTCCTTTCCAAAGGTCTGCGGCATTTCATTTCTGAATCCCACACGCTGGCTCTCTGGGGGTGTTCGCTGCAAGCCCTCTCCCCTCTCTTCCATCTTGCATCTCTTCCACAAGAGTCTTTGCTCTGAAGGTGCTACACCATCCTCCAAGGCCCATTCTCTCCAAGTCCCATGGAGGACTGCTCAGAGCTGGGAGACATGGGCCCAAGGAGACCCGTTGGAAGCTGATGCTGGGGACTGGTGCCACTGTTCTGGAATATCCTGGGCTGGTGAGCCAGGCCCTCCCTGACATAACAGATGAGCCCAGTTAAGTCACACAGTCAGGGCCTGGCTGCATCTGTATGTAGGGCGCCTCAAAGCGCCCCCTACTGGTTGGGAGTTATCCCTGACGAAAACACTATGCTGTATTGGAGATTTCATTTTTTTATTTATTTATCTGGCTGCACTGGGTCTTGGGTGCAGCATGCAGGATCTTTAGTTGCAGCATATGACGTGCTTAGCTGTGGAATCTAGGATCTGGTTCCCTGAGCAGTGATCGAAACCAGGCCCCCTGTGTTGGGAGTGTGGAGTCTGAGCCACTGGACCACCAGGAAAACCCCTGCACTTGAGATTTTAAACTAAATGTATTTTCTGCAAAAAAGTCAGCAGTCCTAAAACTGTATATATCTTTCCATAATAACTTCCCCTGTTGGCTCAGGCAGTAAGGAATCTGCCTGCTAATGCAGGAGATCCGGATTTTATTTCTGGATCGGGAAGATCTCCTGGAGAAGGGAATGGCTACCCACTCCAGTATTCTTGCCTGGAGAATTTCATGGACAGAGGAGCCTATGGTCCATGGGGAGGCAAAGAGTTGGACACGACTGAGTGATTAACACTTCCACGCTTTTCCATAATAATATATTTAGCAATACCTCACACTCATCAGGCACTGCCCTCCTTAGATTGCAATGGCCCTTCAAACCCATGACTCACTAGCCATGTTCATTACCCGCTGGGGAGGGAAGCAGGAGGGAGACCCACTGCTCATAGCTTACAGGAGAAGGAGTTGGGGCTCCTGCCAGGAATCAAGTGGCTCAAGACCTTACTTTAAAAAAAAAGAGAGATCACCAATATTCAAAATAAATCGCCAACCAGCCACAATCCACATAATACTAAATATTATTTAAGACATGGTACGTTTTGCATCAGGAAACCAAAAGCACTCCACTTGAAAATTAAGGTCAAATTAGTCCAGGGTAGGGACAGAAGGCCCCGGGGAAGAACATTCTCATCCTCTGGTTTGATCTTAGTGTGACTGGAATGGTTCAAGTCTTCAGGGTGTGATTTTTTAAAAAATATTTAATGTTTGACTATTTAAATATTTAAAATATTTATTTATTTGGCTGTATTATATCTTTTTTTCCCCATGAGGGATATTTCATTGTGGTGCACGGACTCTCTAATTGTATTGTACAGACTCAGTAGTTGCAGCCTGTGGAGTTAGTTGCTCTGTGGCATGTGTGTGTGGATCTTAGTTCCCGGACTAGGGATCAAACCCATGTCCCCTGCATTGCAAAGTAGATTCTTAACCACTGAACCATCATGGAAGTCCCGGGTGTGAGTTTTTGATCCAGGCTTTTCACATAATTCTCCTTTGGGTTTGCACCCATATCCTTGGCCAGTTGGTTCTAAAGCTGTGGATGAGGGTTGGCTGGCAGGGTCAGGTGACATGTTGGAGTGTTTTATCTTAGGGATGACTCCTTAGATGCTAAAACCTGCCAAGCCCACCTGCTACGGGGAGGGGTCCTCCCTGGGACAGGAAGTCA